GAAAGCCAATCTCACCAACAGGTGTTTGCCCGAGTGATGCAATTGAACAAAGTCCTGGGCAGTGCTCCAGGTCCCCCAAATGTTGTCTGCACCACTGGTCATCGTGTCCGATATTCGAACCTGAGGAATGTTTGGCTCTTGGAGACGTGTCATTCCTTAAGAGTCACATTCGTCAAATTCCATGGGGAAGGATGACATGTTAAGTCTGCCATCATCTAAGCGTGATAGCAGGACATTGTTGGCACCCTGCTGTGGTTAAAGGGCATGTAGGAAAGAGATGGGGTCTGAGAGGGAGACAAAGAAGGGAGATCCTAAGACTAGGGTTTTTTGTTTTTGTTTCTTTTTAAGCAATGATTAGAGTTGCTGTTACTGTTTAGGAAACCACATTGCCATTCTCCAATGGTCTTATGCTGGCACACTAAGTGTCAATCCTGGCCTTTCATAACTATTTGGATGAGAGGATTGACCCTTTGGCCGTACCCTAGTCCCTGCCTCCCTCACACAGGCACAGCTGGCAGCCTTTTGTGAGAGAGAAGTGATGGTAAAGAGATGCCCTCTGTGTTTATAGCTCCACAGGGAAAGAGGGACCAGACTTCAACCCGGTGCTCCAAGATGTGAATGCAACATACCGTCATGAAGCAGGGAACCAGCGGAGAGGTCTTAGGGGTCGGCCCCAATTCCAACTACTTGGACAACCTCCCCTCCACCCAGAAGAATTTACTTCAGAGGACAGCACTGAAGCTACAGTTCAGGGAGAGGGACATGTCTGATCAGAGCACATGGGAGGAAATGAAGGGGGAGGAAGAGAGAGTGGAGCACATCCTGGCCCACCAAGCCTTGAGGACGATATTCCCACTCAGGGCAGGCAGTGTACAGAGAGGACTATGAGCCCCTCACTGACCCAAAGCCCTACAGGGCACAACATTAGAGACACAGTGTGGGAATTGTGCCCAATCTGACCCCACCACACCGAGGCAAAACACTAAGAGTGTACAACAGAACAGCAAGAGTAACAGAGCAACGAAGTCCCAAGGGAATACCAAAAATAGACTTTGGGGCCAGGGCATGGCACCCCATCAGGCTCCACTGGAATACGCTCCTAAACAAATAGACCTTAAACTAATTACAGATTTTTCTCTTTTTTTTGTCACTTTTTTGTTGTTGTTATCACTGTTTTGTTTTCTTTTGTCGCTTTGTTTTTCTCTGTCTTGTTTTTTGGTGCATATTAATATCTCTGCAGGTCTAACTAGATAAGATAGGCTGGATAAAC